GCAGGGGGTGGAGGCATGGGGCCATAACATGTAGAGGAGATGTGGGGCAGCTGCTCTTGGTTGGTGTCAGTGCTTTGGTCGCCCACCCCTAGTTATGCTATTGGAGGGAATAATCCAGACTCAGTGCTCTAAAACTGGCTTTTGGATGGGCGCAGAATTGCAGCCAGTCACTCTTTCTGTCATCCCAAAGAGCAGGATAGCATCATGGAGAGAAGGGAAAAGATCAGCCCCACCCCGTCGCGCACAGAGTAGCACCTGCAGTGGTCCATGTGTGGAGCGCGATGCCATCCAGTGTGATTTTAGGGGACTGGGATCAGGCCTGATGTGAATGTGAGAGCACCCATGGCTGCTGTCCAGCTGTTGGCCTCTGTTTAATCCCAGCCCAGCAACAGCTGTGGGAACTTGCTCCCTGCTGCCCTCTTCTCCAGCAGGAAGGATGGGACAGTGGTTTAGCACGGGCTGCTGGGGACCTAGGTCCAGTTCCCTGCTCTGCCAACAGGCTTTCGGTGTGACCCTGGCAACTCCTTGCACAGGGGGCATAACAGGGCCCGAAAGCTTGCCAAGAACTGTTTCCAGCTACTCGGTTGGTCTGTTAACACCCAAAGAACCTTGCCTGCCTATCTCCTTAGATCAACACGGCTACAATCAAAAACCCAGGGGGCATAACAACACTTCCTTGCTACAGGGGGACAATGCATCAAGGAAGGTGGGAGGTTTGGCTTGTGGAAGCCACAGATGTGCCTGAGCTGGAGAGAGGAGACGCTGCTTTGCCTTGTGACAGAGTTTGGAGATGACTCTTTGGTTTATTCAGTCCTGGTTTCTTTGATCACATCTGTAACAGTTCCCTCCAGCTGGAGAAATAAGCCCCATCCCCTTCAGCGCTGGGTGCACTGAAAACCAGCCATTGGGCAATGTAAACACTTCAGGAATGGGCCTGAGCCCATGTCCTCACCCCACCCACCACAGCTGCAGACTCAAGTCTGCTTGGGGCTGCCCCATAGCTATGGACACCGCCTACATTGCAGCCCCTGCTTCACCCCAGCACATGAGTGGATGGAGGGAAGCTGGAAGCATGGACCTGGCCTTTGCCAGCAAGGGCTGGTGACATGGGCACTTCTCCAGTGAGGAGAGAGCAGGGCTTACTGGTTTCCTGTAGGCATGGGTGGTCAACCAGCCCTGAGGTCACAGCAGTGGCTACACCAGCAGTAACATGTCAGGAACTTTCTCTGTCCCACTACCCCCCCCCCGGGTTTTTGTGTTGCTCTTTGATAGGCAGTTGCAGGGCTCAGTGCTTGAGGGGCCGTATTTGCACCCAGCAATGCTGATTGCCATGGGCAGGGTGAGCTGGGTGGGATCTGAGGCCCTGCGGGGCTTGACCTTAAGGAGTGGGGCCAGGGGCTGGGAATTTGTGCTTTCTGACTGCAGCCCCATTGCTGGCTGGTCAGGCCCTTCTCCAGCTCTGTGCCTCAATTTCTCCATGTGCCAGGCATCCAGCTGTCCTTGGGATGGGGACGACATCACTACAGGGTCCCTGAGAGCTTTGTCCTCCAGTGTGAACAAGCACACATATGCACGCACACATGCATACATGCAGATACACATGCGGACACATGCATGATGCATAGATACACACACATCCTTCCTGCAACTCCAGGCAGCATCCTGCTGAGATGCCAGGCAGGCTGACAAGCTGCACCAGAAGTAGCTTAACCAGGTTCGTGGCACCGTGCCCAGGGTAGTGACCCTGCCTGCAATGTCCCCCTCTGTGCTATTTCCCAGTTCAGAGCCCCGGACTGGGTCTGGTGTCTATGGAGCATTTGGGAACACTCTAGATTTGGGGATCCTGAAGGCTGGTCTCCTTACCCAGGTGGACCACGGGGCTTGCTGCCCTCGCTTGGAGAGAGAGTGGCAAGGCATATGCTGATGCCTGAATGCACATGAAGGAATCATGATTGCTATCACAGCAGCCAGCGCTCAACCCGCCTACACCTTCCCAAGCCAGGCGAGCAGCCTGGAGGCTTATATGGAGGCATCCCAACCCCAGTCCTGCACTATCAGCACTGTGTGCTCCTGGCTATAATTAACAGGGACACCCCAAACCCTGGCTTTTCCCTGGAGAGGGAGCTTCTGAGGGATTCAGCCACCTCCTCCTCCCCCCCATCAGCCCCTAGGAAACAGCAGGTCCAATGCTGGTTCTTGCTCAGCGAACCAGTTGTCCCTTGTGATGTGCACTGGTCTCTAGGGAAGCCCAGGCATCTGTGCTGCTGCCTGGAAGAGAGCTAGGCCCGCTGGTGTTTTTGCACCAGGGCCTGTGAAGCTCTAACGGCAGTTCACACATACTGTGCTTGTAACACCTGAGCCACTGCACAATGTACTGCCCAGACCGCATTGTTTAGGGGAGGCCTCACATGTGCTTTGTTAATACGAAGGGTGCAAATTGTGAGCACTGATTACAAACTGGGAGCGTTGATCGTGTCAGGGCTGGGGTGGATGGGTGGCCTGCACAGAAGCGGTGAAGCTGCAGGTTTGAGGCTGGCTGGGGCCTCCACAGGAGGGCCCAAAGGATGAATGAAACTGGCCTCATCATCCCCTCTAGCAGTGGCTGGTGGTGGTGTGGGGATCTGGCTTCCAGAGCTGCAGTTTTTGGATGTGCCCTGAGGCAGGAAGGGCAGTGGCAGAGTGATCCACAGGGTCTTGCTGCGGTTTCCAAGGCACAAGAAGTTCAATCCCTGCTCTGGACTCAGGCCAGAGGCTGCCGTCCAGCTGTGAGCGGGTACCAGGTCAGGCAGGCTGGGGAGTCAGAGGCGGCTGAATGTGCTGTTGCCCGCATTGCTCCCATGTGTGCTGCTGGCTGCAGAAGCCAGTGTGTCCTCGCTGGGATAGCACAGTGAGCTGCTGAGCTCAGGGCCCTGGATGCTGGGCCCTTTCTACTCATTGGGGGCCTGTCCTCGCAGCTCTGCTTGGAAGTGTGTTGTCTCAGTCTTATTTGAGGCAGGGAGGTGGCTGAGCCTGCTCAGGCTGGTTTGGCTGTGGGGAGCAGACTCTCTTGGACACTGGGGGACATTTTTTTGTTGAGTCCAGTGTAAAGCACTCTGTCCCCGACCCCAGCCATCTTCTCCCCTCTCTTTCTTATTCCC